TCGCCGGAGGAGCTTTTGCCGAGACTACGTCCCGGGCCTAAGCACCCAGCCGAAAGGTTGCGTTATCGCCGGCGAGCTCGTCGCGGAGTGCCTCGACCCGCCGGTCAATATAGTCCCCAAGATCCACTACCAAGGTCTTTAGGACCTTGTCCGTGAGGTCTAGACCAAAAGATGGCGCAGGCTTAATCATCGAAACCTGCGGAACCTCTTCCATCTGAACCTCTACCTCAGCCACGGAGGAGAAGGCCGTGCTCCGTGCTGCCTTGGCAGCGGCCAATACTTTCTCTAATTCACGCACCCTCTTTATGAGGGCCCGCTTGGCCCTTACGGCCTTACCGCAGGCGTCATTCAAGGTGGTACTCGCCACTCCGGGACCGGGTGTGGCCCTCCGGCTCAACAACACCGCAAGGGCCCCATTCAAACCCCTGGGCGCCCCATCAAACAAGCAAAACAGCTTGTCTTGCTAGGGTATCAAACACCTCATCAGATCCACAAGGTCCTCCGAGACCTTGTGGATCTATGAAGCTGAAAGTGGCCCGGAGATTTAGCCCGGAACCGCTGAAATGCAGGACCGCAACTACCGATTTTGAAAAACTTAAATTTCCAGATCTCTAACTACCTAAACCTATTTTTGTTAAGCACATAGGCATTCATGTATTCCCATAACATAATAAATATATATTTTAACATTGTCAGCCAGCTGTTCATTTGCAATGACGAATAATAAACACATATCTATCGTTACTCGAGCGAAATAACGCATCCTAAAAAGTTTAAAAGTTCTTTTAACAACAAAAATGTTTGTGCTCCCTAAAAATTAAGTGTTTCCTAGATTTATAACATTTCAAAGAATATTTGTGCAAATTTTCAGCCGGCTGTTCATTTGCAATGGCGAATAATAAACAAATATCTATCGTTACTCAAGCGAAATAACGCATCTTATAAAGTTTCAAAGTTTCTTTACCACCGAAAATGTTCGTGATCCCTAAAAAATGAATGTTTAGTGCGTTTCTAACATTACAAAGACAGTTTGTGCAAATTTTCAGCCAACTGTTCATTCGCAGTGACAAATGATAAACAATTGTTTATCGTCACTCGAGCGGTTTAGCGCTTCTTAAAATGTTTGATAGTTGTTGTACCATCGAAGATATGTGTGCTTTCTAAAACGTAAGTGTTTACTAGATTTATAACATTTCACAAACTATTTGTGCAAAATGTCAGCCGGCTTTTCATTTGTAATGACGAATAATAAACAAATATCTATCGTCACTCAAGCGAAATAACGCATCATAAAAAGTTTAAAAATTTTTTACTACCAAAAATGTTTGTGCTTCCTAAAAAGTGAATGTGTTTTACATTTCCAACATATCAAAAAATATTTGTGCAAACTTTCAGCCGGCTGTTAATTTGCATTAACTAATAAAAACCAAATGTTTATCGACACTCGAGGGAGATAGCGCTTCTGAAACCATTACAAAAGTTAACATTTTTTTTAACATTGAAGACGTTTGTGCTCCCTAAAAATTGAATGGTTACTGCGTTTCTAACATTACAAAGCTAGTTTGTGCAAATTTTCAGCCGGATCGTCCTTTGCAATAACAAATAATAAACAAATGTTTATCGACATTTGAAGATGATAACGGTTCCTAAGAGGTTGTAAGGTTTTTTATCAGTAACGGTGTCGGTGCTCCCTAAAATTGAAATGTCCACTACATTTACAACATACCAAAGAATATTTGAGCACATGTACAGCCGGCTGGTCATTTGCGGTAACGATTAATAAACAAATGTCTATCGTCACTCTAGCGAGATAGCGCTGTTACTCGTATAAAGTTAAACTTTTTTTTTTAACATTGAAGATGTTCGTGCTCCCTAAAAATTAAAGGTGCTTTATATTAAAGAATATTTGTGCAAATTTTCAGCCGGCTTGTCATTTGCATTAACGATTACTACACAAATGTTTACCGACACTCGAAGGTGATAGCGCTTCTGAAACCATTACAAAGTTTAACATTTTTTTAACATTGAAGACGTTCGTGCTCCTTAAAAATAAAATGTGCTTTACATTTCTAACATATTAAAAAATATTTGTGCAAATTCGCAGCCGGGTGGTCATTTGCGTTAACAATTAATAAACAAATGTCGATCGTCACTCTAGCGAGATAGCGCTATGTTACTCGTACAAAGTTGAACTTTTTTTTTAACATTAACGAATATTAAACAACTGTTTATCTACAATCCAGGGGGATACCGCTTTTTAAAAAAGTATAATTTTTTAAACATTTAAGGTGTTGGTGCTCTCTAAAATTCAAATGTCCACTACATTTCCAATATATCAAAAGATATTTGTGCAAATTTTCATCCGGCTGTTCTTACACAAAATTTTACTTCGTAGCTTACCTAGACCATCCAGCTTTGTGAAGAACAGTTTTGAGCTTTACGGAATCTTGGCTGACTTTAGACTGAGTGACGAGGATGTTTTGTTGTCCTTGGATGTGGTCTTGCTCCTTACAAATATTCCATTGGATTTGGCTTTAGATGGTATGAGAAGGAGATGGGATTTGATAAAAAACAATACAGGGATTCCCTTCGAACCTTTCATGAATGTTTTAGAGTTTGTCCTCTCTTCAACTTTTTTTTACATTTAATGGTACTTGCTATCAGCAGACCTTTGGTATCCCGATGGGTTCTCTTCTCTCTCCTATTATAGCAGACGTTGTCTTGCAGGATTTGGAGACACACTGTATTGATAAATTAAGTTTCAATCTAACTTTTTACCGCAGATATGTTGACAATATCTTAATGGCTGCTCCTAGAGAAAAAATAGACTTAATCTTTAATATATTCAGCTCGTACCATCCAAGATTAAAATTCACTCTGGAAATGGAATCAAACAGAACGATTAATTTTCTCGACACTTCTATTTCAATTACTAATAACAAACTCATATTAAATTGGTTCCAAAAACCGACATACTCAGGGAGATATCTCAACTATTTTTTTCACCACTTTAACAAAAAATAGGTATCGTTTACAATGTTGTTGATAGGGCGATATTATTGTCACATCCAAGGTTTTACAAGGACAACTTGTCTAAAGTTATAAATATTTTATTGTCTAACGACTATTCTCTTGACTTTGTTTTCAAATTCATTGACAAAAGATTGCATTATTTGTTTTTCACAAAGCTTAATAGTCGTCATTCAACTACACCTACTGATGTCATTGAAGAAGAGAAAAGGATTTTCACCTTTCCTTTTGTTTCCGGGATAACAGACCCTTTAACGAGATCCTTAAAGAAAAAGAATTTTATATGTGGACCTGCGTGGCCGGAAACCAAACCGGCCTTTGTTAAGGCCTCCTTATCTCTCCAGAGCTTCCTCGATACGCCGGGCCAGAACTCGCTCAAACATTTTTCCTAGCTCGTCCAGAAGAAAGACAGATTGGCCTGTAGGACGGCAGGCCACCTCCCAGCGGAGCCGGCTTGGGGATGAAAACAAGCCTGGCCCGTCTTCACACCTCGGGAAAAACTCCCTCCTCGAGGCAGCGATTAAAGCACCGGAGCACGTGTTCTGGTGCCCTCGCGATCACACGAGCCCAGACGACCCATGTCAGAGGGGCCTGGCGCGGTGCGACATCCGGCAACCTTCTTGGCCACGGAGCGAAGTTCCTCTGCCGACACTGCGTACTCGGGACGCCACCGGAACTCTTCTCAGACTCCTGGTAAACCTTCGTATCAAGTGGGAAACAAAGTGTTCACTACCCGGAGGACTTCGTCCACCTTCATAGACTCCGTCACCGCAGGACCGGCCGCTCTCAGTTTGGACAGAACCAGGCGGTATGGGGTTCCCCACGGGTCCCTGTCCAGCTCAGCAGTCAGCTCCTCCCATGCACGCCTTTTTGCTACAGCACTGGCGCGTCTGAGGTCTTTATGGGCGGCCCTAAGAGCGCAACGGAGAACCTTCATTACACCCGGGAGATGTTTCCTACGACATCGGGCCGGGGTGTATCTACGTCTCGCCACCAGGCAGAACCGGCGAAAAGTCGCTATTTCTTCCGACCACCAGTACGTAGCCTTCTTGGTCACCTTACCCCGAGCTCGCGGCATAGATGCGTCGCAGGCATCGGTGACTACTTGCGTAATCCAAGCCACCTTCTCTTCTGCTCCAATCCGACGCTCTGGAGACACCCTCCATGTCGCTCCGGTGAGCGCGGTGTCAAACCTATCTAAGTCCCATTCCTTGGCTTTCCACCAAGAAAACGAGGACCGACAAACTCCCGTTGCAACTGCCGCGCCGCCCGCCACCTTAAACGTGACGTAGCGATGGTCGGAGAGAGACTCCTCGCGCCACAACACTGTCCAGTTCCGGACCAAGGGTGCAACCGCGGCAGAGCCCAACGATAGGTCGACCACGGAAGACCCCTGCAAACGCAAGTCGGCGTCGTCTCTGTATTAAGCACGCGGAGGTCAAAGCCCACAGCCCACCGCTCTAGCGCCCGCCCACGCCAGTTTGTACGGGAGGAACTCCACGTTACCAACTTGGCGCTAAAATTGCCAAGTACCAGGATGAAGGCCCCCCTCCCGCTCCCGCCACGCTGTTCCCCAGAGAGGGAACAGCGTTTTTTCCAAAAACTGTTCTAAGACTACTCGCGAGCAGTTGGGGGAGAAATAACAGCTTTACACTGTGATTCTCTCCCAATGGACTGCTACAAACCCGTGGCCACGTTCGGCCACGCCACGGACTGATGGACTGTCCGGGTGGTGGAGACAAGTAACAGCAGCTACCTTGTCCAGATTCCCCGCCCACGAGAAGGAGTCTGGGACTCTAAGGCTCGGCGAGAGCCATAACTGCCGCTCCTGTCTCGCGCATGACCTGGACAGCCAGGTCCTGTGCCGGCCCGCTATGGTTAACGTTAATTTGTACCACGCAAGCCATCGCAAGCTTCATAACCTCCTGGCCACGGGCGACCGTCTTCTGCTTGGTCATGTTACTGACTCTCTAGAGGCCGTTTCGCCCCTTGTGTCGCAAAGGACACGCCTCGCCTCCGAGTCTGTGCACGGACGAGAGTTCTCGGTTAGCGCACAGAACACACCAAGCTGGACCCGGGCACGAGCAAGAAAGATGGTCGGGCTTGCCGCAACGGTAACACGCGTCACTCCGATCTACCGGGTTTTTGCAGCTTTGTCTGACATGCCCAAACTCCAAGCACTTGTAACATTGGAGTTGGCGGCTAGGCAGAAGCGCGACCTTAGCGCTTGACCACCCCACACGGAGGCAGCCAAACTCGGCTACTTTTGTGGCCACTTCTAGTGGGCATTTGATCTGTACCGCACCCAAGCGGTCTCGTTCTTCTGTCATAGGGCCTACCTTACTGTCGGTAACCCTGCAACCACCGAACTCGACTGAGCTCAAGCGCGCCACCAGTGCATCGGCGAACACTGATTCGTCCAGGCCGGTGATTCGCAGCTTACCCCTACGGACCGGACGGGTGACAGCAGCCATTCCTTCCAGGACCGGAGCCAGCGCTTCGGCCAGTCGATCCGCCTTAGCCGATCCGTTAGAGCCAGAAATCTCCAACAGAATTACACCCCCACGACGCACATCTTTGCGGACGCGCGTCTCCGCGATATCTAAGGCGGAAAGATCAATCTTCTCCCGCGCGAGTCTCATTACCGCCGCATACGACGGCGTTTCCCCCGAGTCGGTGGAAGAGCAACGTATAGTCACGGCCGCGGCTGTGCGATGACGTCGACGGCGGCGGCCACCACCAGCGGCAAGTGCCGGACGCAGCTAGCTTTTGCCTTTTTCCCCGATTTGCACTGCATCCCGAGGGGCTTCTGCGCTACGTGCAGCGGCACGTTTATCGCGGCGGGTGACCGTTGCCCAGGTGGTCCCCCCGATAGCGGGGGTAGCCACCTCCGCGAACACCGCGGACGGCACCTCTCCCGGCGGATCACTCGCCACCCCCGAGGTGGGGGGCTTCTTTTTGCGGAAACTCCCAGAATTCTCAGCCGTCCCGACCTCGACAGAAGCTGGACCGTCCCCCGAAGGGTCTCCCTTCGGAGCACGGAATCGGAGTGGCTGACTGCCGCTTTTGCCTGAACTCCCGAGTCCCGCCACTACGTTCAAGAGCTGGTGCAGTAGCTCCTGGATGCCTCCGAGCTGGCGCTCTACGGCCGCTACGCGGTTTTGCAGTGGGTCCTGATGTTCACGGGACTCTTTAACCACTCAAGCATTGTCTAACTCTTTGGACGCATAAGCCTTTAACGGCGGCATAACTGCCGGGGGAACAATAGTCCCGGGTGGGAGAACCTCTATCGAGGAGATTACCGGTCCTCGGGGATTTGTCTGGACCGCCATCTTGCAGGCTGGCCTGCCTTTAATTGAGAAGGAAACCGATGCAGGAAAACGGTCCATCTCCTTCCGCAGATCTTCTATTTCTCTTCGGAGGATGCTGTTTTCGGCTTCGAGTGTCCTCAGCTGATTACCGGGCTTAGCAACTTCAGTTTCAGCGGCAATTCTGCGCAAGCGCAAACCAGTGTCGTCCGTTTCCGCGATGCAGGACAACAACGCATACGTAGCCTTTTTGGTTAAGACGGCAAAAGCTTGAAGTCGCGGACGTAGCCGCCCTTCAGCCGTTTACACTTCAACACCTGATCCACAAACTTGGACGATTCCGCCTTCAAGGTGTCCGTGATGGTCGAGGGAGATGCGTTCTCAAATGATATCTCTCTTTTTTTCCCTTCTTCTTTGTCCGTGCTTCCGCGGATATTGTTCGCGTCATATCCTTCCCGCCTCTGTCCGGTTTTGTATTCGGATCGCGGGCGTCCGGCTCGCAGGAATCCGATTCGCTAGACGAAAGGATGAGCAAGATTTGGGGCCTGTCCGATTTTGTTTTTATTTTTGCGGGCTTACTCTCCCGGCTTTTCTTGCGGTGTTTAGACCGGCTTTGGTCTTTGCTCTTAGCTGAGTCCTCAGTGAAAAGTTCCACCACGGAGAAATCCGCCTTTCTTTTACCAGAGAGTGCGCTACGAAGAAACGCATTTCTCTCCACCGCGTGACTCTTCTCTCTGACCAACGAGACCTCGTTCTCGTTCTCCGATGCTCGAGAACGATCGCTCTTGGTTGTATCGCCGGGTTCCATCGCGCCAGAAAAACTGGGGGGTCTGTCCACCCAAAACTTACTACCCGCAGTAGCAATAGAGCCTGCGTCGCACTCTGCAGCCAACCCTTTGTTGGATATCGACCGAACGGGAGCAGGGCTATTATCCCCGGACTGCCGGGACCTAGGGCTCCGAAACTCTTGGTCCAGTAAGTTTGCTACTTTTTCAGAACTCATCATGAATTGTGAACGGGGTTTTCTGTCGGGGTTTCCTTCCCTTAGACCGGCTCTTCCACTGGGGTAACGAGCCCGGCCGCCCGTGGACCCACTCTTGGTCTGGAGGCTCGTAGAGAACCAATCCGGCTAGGGAAGCCCTACCAGGAATCGAAATTTCCGCCGGCACAGCTTCTCCATTCATTGTCTCACGTAAGCCCAGGCACTACGACAAGGTGGTGGGTCCAAGCCCGCCTGGGATGTATTAACTTGCCTGCCTAGGTACATACATATTAATTTCAACATTTTGTTACTGACATTTATTATCTTCTATGAATTTAATTTTATTCTGTTTTTTTAATCCTTTCATATTTTTGTAATAGTGTTGAAAATGATCTACATTAAAATGATCAAAACGTTCACTTCATTGCATTGGCTGTTATTTACTTTCACGTCCATCTTCACCCAGGATCTTAGGCTCATTGGTTTTCACGTTGATTTACTTTTTGATATCTCCAATAATTTTCGAGATAAACTGACAAAGGAACCTCGCAAAGTAGAAAATTCTGATTTTGATAAAACTTTGCACACATGTAGGGTAGGTCACTAGATAAATGTTGACATATTCCGTTGCGGCCAAAAAACAGTTTTAAGGGATAAAGTCACCCCTTATACATATACCGACTTTTTACTTTTTTCAATTTATCTCGAAATTTATAGAAGATATCAAAAAATGTTTCGCACAAACGTTTTATTAACAAATGGCCTTTATTTAACTATAGTAACATATTTTAAAACAACCTATTTTTAAAAAAATGTTTTTATAAATGTATAAAACAATTTTTTGAATGTTATTAATGTAAATAAATAGACATTTTTACCATAATGTAAATAAATAGAAATATTCTTGCTATAAAGCTTTTGTATAAAACATTTTCTAATATTCTCAGCAGTTTTCGAGATACATTGAAAAAATCGCCAAGCCGCTTTACATGAAAAGTGGTTTTGCTTTTTAGAATCAATTTTAGTTTGCTACTGAAAATTTTTACATCTATTTGTCAATTTATCTATTTATTTATACATGTATACACAATTTTATCGCATAAATATGTCTATATATAATCGCACATTAATACAATTTTGAAATAATTTGTTTTCAAAAGTTATTTTTATATCCGTCTTTTATATAAGGAACTATTTATTGCGTTATGTTTTATTATAACAGTATTTGTTTCAACAAAGATGTTTTTATTTTCTAAATATTTCTATGTTGCAGTGCAACGTGACTTGAAAAATCATTGAGAATATTTATATTACATTTGTAATATCGCATATTATAGTGTAGCGGGATGCATGCTGCGACGACACCCGTTGGTAGAATATGTTGATTCATTCGGTTGCGCGGCGTTTGTCTTACATATATATATATATTAGGTGCGCAACTAAGTTCCCGCTGTTTGTCAATAGATGGCCCCAGCAGTAAGTGCTGGTAAACAAACCGCTTTGACACGTTAGTGATTTTGTTTTGGCGTCATATACTTTTGGTTGTGTGAAAATGTCTGATTTTGTACTAAATAATCGTCATTTGCGGGAAATATTGATTTTCTTATTTCATTCGAAGAAAACGGCGGCTGAAGCGTATCAAGAGCTCCAAAAAGTTTACGGAAATGCTGCTCTAAGTGAAACAACGTGCCGTGATTGGTTCCGTTGCTTCAAAGACGGTAATTTCGATGTTGACGACCGTCCGCGTGAAGGAAGGCCAAAAACCTTCAAAGACGCTGAATTAGAGGCATTGCTCAATAAAGATCCATGCTAAACGCAAGAACAGCTTGCTTCAGCATTAGGAGTTACCCGCCAAGCTATTTCCAAGCGATTGCATGCGTTGGGAATGATTCAAAAGCAAGGAACTTGGGTTCCTTATGATTTGAAGCCAAGGGACGTTGAGCGTCGGTTTTTCGCCTGTGAACAACTGCTCCAGCGGCAAAAAAGGAAGGGTTTTCTTCATCGCATCGTGACGAGTGATAAAAAATGAATTCATTACAGCAACCCAAAGAAAAGAAAGTTATGGGGACTGCCCGGTCATGCTTCTACGTTGTCGGCTCGGCCAAATATTCACGCTGCAAAGATTATGCTGTGTATTTGGTGGGACCAGGTCGGTGTTATTTCTTATGAGCTGTTGAAACCGAACGAAACCATCACTAGGGAACGGTATCGAATTCAATTGATGCGACTGAGCCAAGCACTGCGCGAAAAACGGCCACAATACGAGCAGAGGCACGAAAAAGTGATTCTACTGCATGACAACGCTCGGCCTCATGTTGCCAAACCCGTTAAAACCTACGTGGAAACGCTCAAATGGGAAGTCCTACTCCACCCGCCATATTCCCTAGATATTGCGCCGTCCGATTATTACTTGTTTTGTTCGATGGCACATGGTCTGGCTGATCAGCAGTTCCGCTCATATGAAGACATCAAAAAATGGCTTGATTCGTGGATAGCTTCAAAAGACGAACACTTTTACCGTAACGGTATTCGAGTTCTGCCAGAAAGATGGGAAAAAGTTGTAGCTACCGATGGGCAATACTTTGAATGATTCATTTGTAACCATTTTTTACAAAAAAGTTGCATTTTCATAAAAAACAGCGAGAACTTAGTTGCGCACCTAATATATATATATGTATATATATGTAACACATCACGCATATTTTTCACTTACGCAAGCACAATGCGGAGTAGTCATGTACTTTGTACGGAAGAGTAATTTGCGATAATTTTACATAATCAAAAAACTTTGATCAAAGAAAACTCTAAATAAATTTAAATAATGTATTAGATATTGCAAAAAGTTCATGTCACTTTTCCTTGAATGTATATCGCGAAAACAACACAAACTTTTCGCGTTCGAATCTATAAATAAGATGATGTGACTTCATATAAAGTGGAATTGCTCCACGTAGTTGTAGTATAAAATCACCAAGCCACCAAGTGTAACGATTCATTTAAATGTGAGAGATTATCCAAGTTTGTATTTTCAAAAACAGTGTCTGTATATCTATAACAAAGATAACAAATTATAACAAAGCAAAATATTACATGTGAATCCTGCAAATGTTATTAATATCTTAATTGTGTCATTCCAAATTGTAAATATTCTACAAACACCTGATAAAGAAATGATAAAGAAATTGAATTACATGTGATACTGTTACGTTCTGGCCCATGGATACGGTCGGGCTGTGGTGGTACGCAACAGCTGAACGTATCTTTATAGCTCGACACAGAAGATGCAGAAATCTAACTGTGTGCGAGTCGAGGGAGTTGTTTATACTCACNGACGGGTCAACGACACGTGCCG